AAACTGAGAATGTTTCGGAGTGTTCTATGGTCTGCTGGGGTAATAATATAGTGTAAAGCGCATAGAGCATGCTGTTGAGCGGGGATATGCGCTATACAAATGCTATCTATTATTATTATTAGTTCTTAGGTGAGTGGTAAGTCTAGGTGGCACAAAGCACAGACTGGCTTCAGAATTCTTTTTTTATCTGGTTTGTTTAGGCTAAGTGTACCAAGGTAAGAATAGATAACTCTTCTTTCTTCTTTTTTCAATAAGTTAGTTCTCTCAGACTTGAGTAGAATCACCAACTACACGAAGGCCTATTTACTAACTAACCTTGACTGTATACAATTCTTTGATCCACAGTGTACTTAGAAACAGTATTACAGCTTTTTGTATTTATATGAGTAAGATTTTGAAAATGCTTACAACTACTTTTGGGAAAAGGCGTGGTTAGGTCTACCAGAAGCCTACATGTACATGTATTCATTTTCCCCTTCGTTTTTGTTTGTTTGTTTTTGTAAAGTGTTTTACGGCGCTCGCAACTGCATAAGGTCATATGAGCGCACGGGACACACCTAATATTTTCAGTTGGTAGGAAATTTTGAATTTTGCTTGGGTGGCGGCCGAAGCCTACTCTTATCGATTTTAGACCACCAAGGGATCTTTAACGTGCGCAACTTGCACACGGGTCCTCCGAGATTTTTCGCCCTTGTCCGAGAAGGCTAGGTGTAGATATTTCCTACCAGAAGATCAGGGGTGTGACAGAAAGACAGCAGTAAGGAGGGGCCAAGGAATAGCAGTAGAAATGCTGCAGAAAGAGTCAGAAGCCCAGAGGAATAGGCAAAGGAGGTGAGGGGGTGGGGGCAGAAAGTGGAAATGAAAGCAGAAAACAGAACATTGCTAGAGAGCAGGAAAAGAGGTGAAAGAAGACAATTTTAGAGAAGAAAATATTTTGGTCGCTACCCGGATTCGAACCCGGGACCTTTGAATGAGAGGCCAACACCTTAACCTCTAGGCCACGAGAGCCCCCTTTTCCCCTTCAAATTGATGATGATGATGAGGCAGGAAAAGCTGGGTAAAAGTTTGGCCTTTTTTCTGGCCTTCCCTCAATTGGTTTGGCCTTAATTGGCCTTTTTTGCAACAGATTTGGCCTTTTACTTTAAGAGCCATCTGAGAACCCTGGTTGGGGGG